CTAGGAACCATGGTGTCGGTGTCTTTTCAGACTATGCTGCAGGCTAGCCCTAGGTTGCTCAAAGGGCTCAGACAACTGTTGACTCGGAGGCGAGTAGAAATAGGCGACAACCCCGAATTACCAGAAGGGGAGAGGGAGAAGGAAGCTCCGCAAGAAGTGGCTAACCTTCAGAGGAGTCACGGGGACTTGGAGGATCTCGAAAAAGCCTTTGCAGACATTCGTTTGAGCTTGCCCGACCGGGAGGGCGGCGAAGTCAAGAGATCACCACCCGGGACAAAGCTTAGCTTTCATGCATTGCCCGTAGGGAAACTGAAAATCCAGATCGGGAGTCATCATATCGACGCATTAGTAGATGGGGGAGCAGAAATCACTCTCATAAGGAGAGATTTCGCAATGATCACGGGATGTACGGTAAACAAGGGAGCATCCGGGGAGCTGGCAGGGAAATCCCGTTCGCAGGGTACGTCACGAAGTGCGCTGTAAAGGCAGGAGTCAGGGGATCGATCTGGTCGTTTCAGCGGATGACCGTAATGGAGGAAACGGACCACGACATAATCCTCGGGAGACCGTGGTGCGCGAACGTGGAGATGATAGGCATGCACTTGCACGATGGCTCATACATGGTAGACATAGAGGACCCGGTGACCGGCCGGGGAGAGCTCCTCCGACTCCTTGGAACGGGAGGAGACCCCCCGAAGGGGAAATTGGCAACATGGTCGCTATCGTTCGAGGATAGCACGCGAAAAGGGGCTTTTGCGGTGCCGCCGTTTCTTCTTGGGACTTTCACATGTCCCCGCCACTTGTCGTCGGTGGTCCCCGACACTTAGTCCCGTCGATGGTCCCCGACACTTAGTCCCGCCGGTGGTCCCCGACACTTAGTCCTGTCGGCGGTCCCCGACACATTTCGCCCCGAACGCCATTATTTTTACTTAGTCCCACGTGGCCCCGGGTGCCTTTCCCCGAGGTGTCCCATGCCCCTTGGGCGTCTTGTCGCCCCATAGCGACCCCTCTCCTTAGTCTTCCCTCGCGCCTTGTGCGTGCCGATCTCTTTGGTCGTGGGCCTCCGCTCCGAGGCTCCCGTAGGTGGCCCCCACGTTGGCCCCTCATTTCCTGGCTTCCCGCGGTCTCTGGCCGCCCATCCCTCGACTTCCTCATTCCCTTATTGCTGTCGTGCTGCAATTGCTAGTTCAAAGGGCCCTTTGGCCTTGTCTTATTGCATTCCGATGGCCCTCCCGGCCTCCTGCTACGTTCTATGTGCCCCTGCTCTTGCGCTCGCTTGCTTGCCGTCGCTAGTTCTTTTCTCCTGTGGTTCTCTCCTTAGGGCATCACTCCCTTCTGCGGCCTAATCTTTTGTCTTTTCTCTCTCCTGCTTCCGCACTCCAGATTTCTCTGTTGTGCACAATTTGTCTATATTCAATCTCTCGAGTGATGGGAAGTTATTCGGGACCCACCAGTCCCGACACATTCCCCCCACTCATTCGCGATGTCCTCATCGCGCACCAATCTCTTGTTAGTGAGTTTTGGAGGGATAGACGGGGAAGGAGGATGAGATGTTATTGGTGGTTAGTTTGCCAGGGTCCGTTATGTTCTTTTCCCATTCCTTTCTCAAGGTTTTCCTTAGCTTCCGTCCCTTGGGGTGGAGGAGGGTATGGGGGAGTCGAAGGTTCTACAGCTTAGACCAGGTTGCTCATTTCCGTCATAGCTCTGCCTCTTTATCTTTCCCTCAATTGAGATGCAAACTTCCTCTTCAGTCAACTCTGTAGACCAAGCAGGGCAGCCCATAATTCTTTCAACTTCAGTAACATGAAGTAGACGGGGCTCTCCTCGCTTCATGCACTTAACTACTGGTATGCCGACTTTATTCCCAGGATGACAATTTGTTGTCATAACACAATTGGTTTTCTCATTCTATGCCTTGGCTTTGTTGATAACAAATTGTGGGCAAGTTTTCATATGCGTCTCAATGTCAAGCATTTGCTCCGAAAGGGAGATGTTCATCCAGTACGACCGCCGCCTTTGCTGTGGTGATACCCACTTCGAATCAGTGAGCCCAGGCACAACTCCCCTTAAGTGCTTCGTAATCTCAAATCTATCTTCCCATTTCATTGAGAAAACATTTTCGAGCAGAGACCATTTTGGTTTCGCCTCATTCATTACTCTTAGGGTCATAAAAAAGTAATCCACTTTTCGGCCCGTGCAATTTATGTTCTCCCGTCATTCTTTCCTGAGTCTCATGCTTAGTCAGTTCCCATGTATTTTTCCCATGTCTTTTTTCCTAGCTTATGTGCGTCATCCTCATTCGTCCTTTCTCGTATCCAGGCTTTAAAATGCGCGTTACTCAGTCCCTCTTATTCACATCTTTCTTCTGGCCTCTTGCCAAGCCTCTCTCATACTCATGCAAAGTCCATTATACCTGTATCTCTTTTCTGGGCGTCTTGCCAGACTTTTCCTTAGGTCTACGCAAAGCCAAATTCACATATCTTTCTTTTCTGAACATCCTGTCAGGCCTTCTCTCAAGCCCATGCTAGGTCAAATACTCATTCATTTCTCTCCTAGACATCTTGCTAGGCCTCTTCTCAAGCTCATGCGGAGTCATTCACACATCTTTTCCTCAGCTGGACACCTTGCCAGGCCTTTTCTCAAGCTTATGCAACGTCAATTTCTCACCCGTTTTTTTTCTTTCTTCTGGACATCTTGCCAGGCCTTTTCTCAAGCCTGCGCAAAGTCAATTACTCATCCATTCTTTTCTTCTCGACATCTTGGCAGGCCTTTTCTCAAGCCTACGCAAAGTCAATTATTCATCCATTCTTTTCTTCTGGACATCTTGCCAGGTCTTTTCTCAAGCTCATGCAACGTCAATTTCTCACCCGTTTTTTTTCTTTCTTTTGGACATCTTGCCAGGCCTTTTCTCAAGCCTGCGCAAAGTCAATTACTCATCCATTCTTTTCTTCTCGACATCTTGGCAGGCCTTTTCTCAACCCTACGCAAAGTCAATTATTCATCCATTCTTTTCTTCTGGACATCTTGCCAGGCCTTTTCTCAAGCTTGCGCAAAGTCAATTACTCATTCATTCTTTTCTTTTGGACATCTTGCCAGGCCTTTTCTCAAGCTCAT